GCTACTCGGAAAAATAAACTAATGAGTAGACTCATTTTCTGTGTCTCAGAAAACAACAACAACAACAAATTAACAGCACAGAGCAGCACAGGGTAAGCCCTGCATTGTAAGCACTCAAAATGACAAAATGATAATGATTTTAAGATGAGAATGTTTACAAGTTAACATTCAACCAAAAATCTAAAAACGTAGCAAAATACAGAAATAGTAAAAAAAAAAAAATAGTAATTATATGTGGAAATAGCTGAACTGACAAATCATTTTACATGTCCTGACCCTATATTCTGCAAGTAAAAGGTATCAATTTTCTCAAATGATCCTAGGAAGATTACTGAAGGAGGGCTTATCTCTTTCAGTTTATGTAAAATGAAGTCAAAGGGATTTTCCTAGTTAATACTGACTGAAGGAAAATAACCTATGAATTGTAGCAATGTGTTTCTTTCTCACCATAATCATGTCTACAGACAAGTTTAAGTCCACCTATACTTTGTTGTAAATATATTTGAGAAGGAAATTTTCTTTCCTTTTCTTTCCTTTCTTTCTTCCTTTCTTTCTTTCTTTCTCTCTCTGCCTTCTCTCTGTGTCTCTGTCTGTCTGTCTGTCTGTCTCTCTCTCTCTCTCTGTCTCTCTTTCTTTCTTTGGCTTGTCCTGGAGTTTTAACTCAGTGCCTGGGCACTGTCCCTAGCAGCTTTGTGCTCAAAGCTAGAACTCTACCACTTGAGCCATGGCACCCACTTTGGCTTTTTTTCTGGTTTATTAGAGCTAAGAGTCTTAGGACTCTCCTGCCCTGGCTGGCTTCAAACTGCTGATTCTCAGATCTCAGCCTCCTGAGTAGAGAAGGCAATATTCAAGAAAGATTTTGATTAACTTCTTAATTGATACAGTCAATTCTTAAAGAGACCCTTCTAGTTTTTTTCTTTTTGTTTATTTGTTTTATGCTGGTCGTGGGGCCTGAACTCTGGGCCTGGGCGCTGTCCCCTCAGCTATTCAGCTCAAGGCTAGCACTATTCCACTGAGCCACAGCACCATTTCTGGCTTTTCTGCTTATGTGGTACTGAGGAATCGAACCCAGGACCTCATGCATGCGAGGCAAGCACTCTACCACTGAGCCACCTTCCCAGTCCCCCTTTTAGTTTTTATAGTTCAATACTGCATCTCTGTTCAGAGGTAGATGAAAGTCAGTAGTGTTCAACCACTTGAAATATCAATATCAGTTTTCTTTTAAGAAACAAGCAAGGGATGATAGGACTGGAAAGGAGAAAGAATGAAGAATAGAAGTCACCTGGGGCTGAAGTAAATTCAATCCATTGACTCTAATTCAAAGGCTAGGTGAACTTCTCTTCTAGCTTGGGCATTTGGGGAAATTCAAGGTATTTAAGGATGAGTGAGAATTACTGTTTCTGAAATTCTCACATTCTATGATTGAAAATGACAAACACATTTGAAAATAATTACAGCCCCTGGAAGAGAAAATAAATGCCAAGATGTGGGAGGTAATAACTAATTACTAGGCAGGAAAGCATGTTGCTTACTTCAGGGATAGGTCAGATTTCAACAGTGGCAAGGAGAAGGACAATTTAAAATGTCAGGTAGGTGTGAGCCAAGCTGCTGTTGTAAAGTTTTCACTAATTACTCAGGTTGATACTGTTTCTCATACAGCCTACCTATCAACTAACTCCAAGTCACTACTTAACTGAAGCAAAGTGAGTTATCCACCATGACTTCCACCACAGCTTAAAAATATTCAAACTAATGCTTTAGTTATAGAAACCTCTAAAGAAGACACATCTGAACTTGCCATCTCCAGGTTGTAAGCCTGTTTTATTCCAGCAGAATTATATTGAATACCAAATTAAGAAATTTGACATTATTGATCGTTTAGTCTCATTATTTTATATATGGGTGCCTTTCGCTCAGTTATTCAGAACACAGAGGCATTTGATTGATAAAAAGGCATGATACGGTAGTAGTGAAGGGAGTTTAGGCCTCCTGTGTTTAGAAATTATCTTTTGTAGGGTACAAGGCTTTAAAAATTCCAACTAGCAACCATTAATCCAGGTTTTCAGAGGCAATTTCAACATTTCTTTGACTTATTTGAGTTACCTAATGATCAGTATTGCCATAGTTTTGTATTCAAAGTTTAGATGGATAATAATATATATAGAACTCAAGAGAAATAGAATGTTCTACCAGTAAAGTTTTCGTAACGATAAAATGACTCAGAATGAAAGAAGAAAGGCTTTCTCAGAAAATTTCTAGAAAATAAAGAATTTCCTTACTTTGTGAAAGTTACTCTGATTTTTTTTAAACTATAGCCATATCAATTCTGATGAAGCTCAATCGATTTGTATCTCTCAGTAAGAAGAAGGGAAAAATCTCTGTATTGGTTGTGCATTTACTTTATCTTTTAATACCAATTTTTAAGACCAATTGCCTCTTTTGATCAATTTAAAATAAAGCATGAGCTAAAAGTCAACTTTACCTTTAATTTTTGTATATCACTGGTGTTATGTTATTTTCATAGGCTTCCATTGCAAGATACACAATAAAATACTAATAGAAATAAGAATAATGGAGTTGAAGCACAAAAAATGGAGAGGATGTTGTATTAAAGTTGGTGTGATATGTATGTCCCTAGTGTAAGGTCCGCTCCTGGATGGTCAGCAGACTCCACCCTCCTTCCAGCCAAGTCTCCACCCAGTACCTGTGTTGCCCAGATAACTAACATACCTGGAAGAAGTAACATCTGCATCTGCTGAGGTCACATCTGGATTTGATGTGACCATACCTTTCCCCGCCCCTACCTCTAGATAAGGCCTATCCCAGGACCAGACACTCTCTCTCCCAGCTACATGGAGTGCCAACATGGCCTGGTGCCAGCCGGAACAATGAATAAACCTACCCCTTACCTGAATACCACATGTGTGGTGTTGTTCTTACTTGGCCTCTTCTTTAAAAACCTAACACCTTGCATCTGCTTCTATCTCTCAGTCCTAGTTTCCATAGTCCCAGTACATTAATTAGCAGTATGAAATAATATTTGTCATGTAAAACAATATTTGAAGCATTCATTAAAGCCTCATTATGTGCCAGGCACTTAACATAATTTAAATCTAATTTCACCAACACATATACATTAATGAGGAAACAATCTCAGAGAGCAAGCTCAAGCCAGATTCTAGGGTTATAGATTCAAGTTGCTATGGAGAAAAAAGTTGACCCTTTGCATATCTGAATTCCAAAACAAATTCCTAATTACATGACTTTTAAGGGTCAGTAGAACTAAAAATCCAGCTCTGTCTTCCAGCAAAATGACAGCAATCAGGTTGCTTTACCACTTTCCCCCTCATTCTCAGTAAAAATCTAAATTCACTGGAGATATGAAAAATGCCAGGTCTATCCTTTTACATTAAAAGAAATCTTTCTAATATCAGGGATGGAGAAGGGCAGATTTGCCTCACAGGTGGTCCAGCTGAGTGGTGAAACACTGATTCTGTCGTGGGAATCCAATCCGGAATTGGAGGCAGAAATCTCAATTATAGTGTTGTCCAACAGAAATAGATTAGTCTTTGGTGTTCATAGGGAATTGGTTCTGAGAACCCCTCTTCTCCTGAGGTTGTTAAAACCCTTAGATGCCAAATTCCTTTATAAAACTTTGTATCTTTTATCTGTAGCCTATGCAAATATACTGTTGAACCTTAAATCATTGCTAGATAAGTGATATATGGAATAGAATGAAAATGCTGGATAAACAGGTTTTTTAAATAAACTATTGTGTAGAGAATAATGACAAGAAAAAAAAAAACTCAATGCATGATCAGTCGATACAGAATTTCCTTCTCTGAATGTTTTCTATCAGTGCTTGGCTGAGTCCTCAGAAGAAGTGCCTATGCATATGGTGAACTGATTTTCTAGGGCAGAGAAATGGATGTAACTTAAAATTCTCTAGTAGTCATACTTAAAATAGTAAAGGTATACAACTGAAATTAATTTAAAAATGCGTGTGACATAATCCAATACCTAAAGGATGAACATTTTAACATGTAATCTATAAACCATATTGAAATATTTTACTTTGTATTAAAACAAACAAATAACCAAACCTGGTATGAGGTTCATCCTTAGAACAGTTATATTTCAAGTGCTCAATAGGAACACATGGCTAGACATTATGATACTGGACAGTTGAGCACTAGTAGGTTTGTAACTGGGGTACTAAGCCAGATATCTAACTCTAGGTTCAATATGTCAGGTCTGCCTCCTGCCCCATGATTCTGAATAAAGACACAAGTAATTGTGAAGGGCAGAGAAAGGAGGGTGAGTGCATACCAAGGACATGCAGTGAGAAGAGGCAAAGGAAGCACTTCTATCTGTGTTCAGAGTATAGGGAGGAACTTTAGATTTAAAGAAAGACCGGGGTCAGGGAGTGCGAAGTGTGCATCCTTAAGATGTCCTGGTCAGGGTGTAGTTTGGTTGATCATTATCTCAGTTCTGGTTCTTGTGAGGGTTTCTGGGAAAGTCATTGCTGTCATCTCTTGAAAGGGAACAATATGATTCCCATGAAATGATTACTACTGCTCCAGGGTGCAGTCTCATCATTATGGGGAATTATCCTCATTTGGGAAATTAGCCTGCAAGACTCTTCTGTTCTTTTCCTTGGGGTGTAGTTTATATCCCCTGAAATTATAAAGACGTTATCGATCAATCTTGTCCTTTCTGGAACCCAAGGTGATTGCAGGAGAGAGACTCAGAGTAAAGGAGACAAAATAGAGATAAGGATGACAAGAAGTTTTTTGCTCTTGTTGTTGTTGTTGCTGTTGTTTTTCTATTTTGGTTAATTCATAGGCCTAGGGAAGGGATCAGTGTGTGTGTATGTGTATGTGTGTGTGTGTGTGTGTGTGTGTGTGTGTGTGTGTGTTTTAGAAAAAGCAGTTTCAAAGTATCTGTTACAGGTGTAAGAAGAAAGCTTGAGTAGCACTCTGTGTGTGTGTGTGTGTGTGTGTGTGTGTGTGTGTGTGTGTTTAATTTGTAGCAAAGACTTACAGACAGGCTCAAAAACAAAAATCCTCTTCTGTAAATCCTCATCGTTCAGTATAAGTTTTGATACATGTAAGAAGGGGTATAATTCCTACAAAAGTTTGAAGTAATAAAGATAGTGATACCCATTCAGGTTGGCTGTAAGAATAAAGATCATTTAAAAGCATAAAACAGAAGACGAAAGCTTGATCAGAGAAGGTAGCTGAAAAATATTGTATTAAAGTGAACCAACTTCAGGCAAAAATAATTGAAGTATAAAAATCAACATAATGAAAATTGAAGTATGATAAAATAACCTCATTGACTAGGAGAAAGGCTATAGAAGAAGAGAGGAAGAATAAATGGAAATAAAAGGCATAAAAATAGAACCACACTTGTAGAGCAGACATTTACTTAACATCTATTGTCCAACACTTACTGAACAGAAAGCTGAAATTCTTCCTTCCCATTACAGAGAAAGAAAATCTGAAGACAGAAGAACCTATTTTTATTGTCTACTAGTCTATGAATTGGCCATGAGTCTAAATCAATACTCTGTATTTTCTCATTCACATTGCCTGTAGGAAAAAAAAAAAGAAAGGGAAAAAGAAAAAAAATATATAATCTGCCAGCTGCCTTGTGCCTGTGTTGCTGACTGGAGGTAGACACAGAGGGGACTTGCTAAGGGCAAGGTGGAAGGAGGGTTGAAAGCTTGAAAGTGTCTGTGTTTCAAAGCCCTAGCTACCACCCCCGAGCCTTTAAGGTGTTAATGAAGGCAGGAAGCCAGGCCCTGCACAGCTGTTTTACCACACAGTTGTTATTCTGAGGACATTTACCTGCTGTTCTCTTGGTGTTGTTGAAGATAAAAAGTGAAGAATTGGCTTTGACATAGAGTCAGAGAGCATGGGTGAAAAAAAGCAAAAGAAACTCTTGAAAAGGAGGTTGGTTGGAAGGTGGAAGGAGTTTGTCCCATAGCCTGCTCTAGAAATTCAGATACCAGGATAAATTCTTATCTGAATTGTCCATTTTCAGGATGTCACCTGCCTTTTGTTTGTAAATACAAAATAAAGAACCTATTCCAAACTGTACCTGTGAAATGGAGATAATCGTTATTCTGTGTTCCAGCGAATGGTAAGTTTATTTCATGGTAGTGAGAAGAGTTTTCATCACATTGCTGCTATAGAAGTCAACTCTTACTGACAACTTGGATGAACAGGAAAGGAGGAATCCGGCGGCTCCACTGAACTGACTTTCATAAAAAGTAGCTAATGAAGAAAATCAAGTTATTTTCATTTAAAGATCATTGCTGAGGGGAAAGAAAAACCAAATGAGCTGAAGAATAATAAGACCCTCTTTAAAAATGGAATCATAATGAATTCCCATTTCTATTTGGCTAAGTATTTTACTCTAATTACTTAACTTATAGCCTTGTGAGAGAATTAAATAGTAGACTTTGATCATTTACTCAAAAATTCTTTCAAATTTATCTATGTTCCTTTCAAGATCTGTGATGGGGGGGGGGGGCGGGTTGGGAAGGTAGCTCAGTGGTAGAGTGCTTGCCTTGCATGCATGAGGTCCTGGGTTTGATTCCTCAGCTCCACATAAGCAGAAAAAGCCAGAAGTGGTGGTGTGGCTCAAGTGGTAGAGTGCTAGCCTTCAGCTGAAGAGCTGAGGGATAGTGCCCAGGCCCAAAGTTCAGGCCTCAGGATCGGCAAAAAAAAAAAAAAAGGCCCTAGTTATAGAGTAGTATAAAGAAAATTGTTTCTTTATACCCATTCTGAGTTCATGGCTATAATGTCTATAACATAAGGCATAAGAAAAATATACTTTTTATTAGAAAAATTGTAAGGTGTGTATTATCACATAGGAGCTTACATATAGAAATGAAGATCCAAAGAAATTGGTACACCTCTGTATTTTTATGTTAATTTCAATGATAAAAATGTGATAGGACAAAAAAATGTGTGATGGAATAATAGTACAGTCTGAAAAAAATACAGTAAAGCCTGATCCTTCCCTGTGTTCTTGAATTTTTAGGGAGTAGGTTGTTCTCCTCCTCTGGGTAGGAAGAGGGGATCTTTCACATGAGGTTTTTATTATCTGCATCTGGGAAAAGTAACAACAACAACAATAAAACTTTCCTAGTTTTAAGTAATACGTTATTGTTGTTGAGGGAGAAGGTCAGGGGAAGGATTGTTTCTCTAATTCCTTCTTTTTAAAGTATTTAGGAGTCTAAGTGCCATTTGGGGGTTAGTGTGTCCAAACCCTATCAGTATAAAGACATGATTAGTTGACCTCTGAACTGATGTCTTCTTCTTTGGAACACTACAAGGCTATGTTCCATAACCTTATTGGTGGCTAGAGGTAGATATATGATTGAGTACTAGCCAATGAATTGTGGGAGAAATTGTTACCGTCACTTGACAATTGTGAGTCTTCATAATGTGACCTTCCTTAGAAGCTGCATTGAGATGATAGAAACACAAGGTAGGAAGAGTCATGATTCTCTTTAGGAGATAATGATACAAACATTGATTTTAGACATAGAGTTGAGAGTTGAAAATGAAGTTGAAAGTAAACAATATTACAGGATCAAATGCTATCTTAACATAAGGAGGATACTCTGTGGTCTTGCATGCTCGTGGGAGACAGACAATAAATAAGCAGCATTATGAAAATGTGAATCCCCAAGTAGATTCCCACCTTGATGTTAAAAGATTAACACTGGCAAAGATATAAAGTAGCAATATTGTTATCTAGATACTAGAATATAGTATCACTTATACTTTTCTTCCTGCCTTTCCTCTTACTTGGCAGCAAATACACATACCTCTTTTGTCAAGTAAAATCTATTCCTTGAAACTGTGGTAGACTCCACAGAAGGTAAAATGAGAGAAATCCTATCATTGTAAAAATTTGAGTCTGAAATTCTCTTTACTGTAACCACTTGTTAAAATGTGTGTGTGTGTGTATGTATGTGTGTGTGTGTGTGTGTGTGTGTGTGTGTGTATCGTTTTCTGAACAGCAATGGACTGGAAGGAGCCCATCTACGTTGAAGGTTCTGCAACCTGACTGAATAGAGCTTTGTGACTGCAGAGAGATGGAATGTTGAGGATCAAAAGCCAAAATTACCTTGAGCTATCTTTAGTCCTCTTAACAGGCATTCACTAGCAATCTCTGTATCTATCAAACATCTTGTGACTGCTAGGTAAAATTTTGGTATATATTTTTAAACATAGCAGATCATGAGCTTCTACCAACCATAAAGCCTAACAATGTTACAGTATAACTTTTGAATCCTATAAAAGTGCCCTTCTCTGCTAGCGCCCACCTACCCGATATTGCTGCCAATGTATTTGGTAAACTTAGGACTTTAATTTGCTCAATGATTGTCTCTTTTAAAAGAAAACACATCTTTCTGGGTATGGCATTCTTTTTTTTTTTTTAATTTTATTTTATTTTCTTTGAGAACATACTCTACAGAGGGGTTACAATTACATGGGCAGGATAATGCATACATTTCTTACCAAGCATTTCAGCCTCCTCCTTTGTTTGGGTATGGCATTCTTAAGCCATAACCACTCTTACCTGGTTCAGAATAAAGTGTCTTAAAACCTTTGAAACAAAAACTGTGTTTTATATCCACAGCTGCCTTAAAATTTTCTCCACAAGTGAAAAAAGGAATGGTGATTATAAACCCTACTGGGCCTAGGTACCAGTGTCTCATGCCTGCAATCATAGCTAAGATCTGAGGTTTAAAGCCAGGCCCCTGAGAAAAATTCAAGAGACTCTTGTGCAACAAATCAGCAAAATGCCTGAAGTAGAGGCAGGCTCAAGTGTTAAAGCAACAGCCTGGAGTGGAAGAGTTAAAATTCTGAAGTCCCTGAGTTAAAGGCCTAGTACTCATACACTCATACACACACACACACACACACACACACACACACACACACACACACACACACAAATAGCCTAATGTAGAAGAGCACAAAGGTAAGCTATTTCTATATTTCTAGGGCCTTAGCGTGCTCATCTGCACAATTAGAAGTGTGGGCTAGTTGATCTGTAAGGCCCCCCTAGCATTTTTAAGCTTTTGAACCCAAACCTTTTTAGAGAGAGAGCCACGAGGGTTGAAGAAAACGGTAGAAATGTTACTCAAATGTACTGTTGGTTGGGAGACAGTCTTCGGAGTATATGGGTTCAAGTGATGAGCCTCAGCATATGACCTTTGAATCCCAATTCTCACATAGAAGTCTAACACAACATTATCTAGAAACAGGACCTGAAAGTGGTATTGGAAAATTCCTTGTATTACGGTTATTCCGTTTGAAATTAAAACAAAAACAGAACAGAACAACAACAAAAACCTGTACAAGACTTTTGCTTCAAGTGCACTTCTAAAGCAGAAATATGTGTAATATATTTGTGATGCTGACCCCAACCCCAGTGCTTTGAGCCTCCCTTACCCTTTGAAGACTCACCTTTTCAAAATAAGAACTGTATTGTTTTTAACAATTGAGTCTCTCTCTTCAGCTTCCTGCCCCCTGCCTAGATGCTCTCTTCTAGGAGTTCTATCTCACCTCCCTCTCAGCTGTCTGGCTCCTGCTGCTGGGCATTGTGATTTAAGGTACTCCTTGCTTTCCTTTTCTTACCAAGGAGCCTTTGATGCAGATACAGAGGGATGCATTATTGATCATATTTGGGCTGCAGCTCTCAGATCGCTGGTTCTGCACTACTAACTAAGAAGCTAGTAAGAGGAGAGTGAAGAGACTGCCTCCTTTTAAACAGCAAGTTAATGGAAAGCTCCATTTTGGAGCTTTTAAGAACTAGTCCTCGCTTTCCTGCTAGGAGCTCTTCCCCTGTGGGCTGGATCACTGTGTGGAGGCTGGGTGGTCCACACTGCAGGTCTGCTTTGATGCAGAGAATGAGGCTCTCCTGTGGAGAGGGCAGATAGGTCCTCCATGGTTGGTTCAGGAGCGCATAGACTTCTTTGCAAATGGTCTGTATCAAAACCCAAATACCCACTTTAAGCTGCATTATTTTCTAAAACATTATTTTAGTTGTGCTTGATACATAACAAATATGAATGCTTATGGGGCACACCATAA